CAGATGGGTGTGATAATTCGTGCACCACATAATACGCCCGGACTTGCAGTTGAGCCTTTGGGCTTGATGTCGGCTCTTTCCGGTACTTTGTGTACTGTCATCCATTCATGAAAACAATGAAGCATTAGTATGGTTGAGACGAAAGCTTGATGGCATCACTTACATTCAACCACTTCCATGTGGTTTGCCACCACGGCCCCCTGATGCACTGCTGACATGACGAGAGCCATGTTCATTCTCGAGTCATTATGTGAGCCTGACCTCAAAGAAATTGGATAGGATGAAACGTCAGTGGTTACCACTTTGGTAAACGAGTGTCTCAAGATCAGGGTATGTACCAAAAAGATCTGACTAACCGTCATAATAAACCACTGCTCCACAAAGACCATCAGATTTCAACATTGGAAAATTTTCCAACGCTTTACCCTGAAAACATTGATAACAGAATAGCTCGAATCAACTCAATAAGTCTATGGGATCCAAGAAGGATAAACAAAGTCTTTACCTTTCCGACCAAATAACTTGTCTCCATATTTTCTGAACCAGCGAGTAGATCATACATCTTACAACCAGCATAATAATAAGGAACTTGCCACCATTTGTAAACTGGTAACATGATCGGAAGATGAAGTGAGAGATGAGGTGCGATATGTAAAAAAGTCTTTCGTTCATGTAGCGCTTCTCGAACTAATTTATACTATTCATCAAAACAACCAAGATCAAAGTTTTGGATTAGTTGAATTTTCAAGAATCATATCTAATCAAAAGCAAAAGTAACCCATCCATCAACTCTAGATGAAATAAATTTCAATCTAACTCAACTTGTTCATAGTCCAATCCAAAGACGGCCTTTTGAAGATAACGAACGCCACCATGTACAAGCTTGGTACTCTTGCTACTGGTTCCACTACTAAAGTCATCACGTTCGACCAAAGCGACCTTTAAACCACGACTAGCCGCATCAAGGGCAACACCAGCACCAGTGGCACCACCACCAATGACTAGTAAGTCATACTCATCGGTATCCTTGGTTGATCGATCATTAGAAGTAGATACTCGACTGATCAATCGGTTATCTTTGAGAGCACTGATGACCTCCTGACGACTAGGTGGATTCCATAAGATCGGTACACGTCTATTTGCTGGATGGCTTGAGTCACGACCTGAATCGAGTTGAAGTTTTTGTCTTTCTCTTTCACGTTGGACCAGGTAAAGTGCTGTACCCGAGACAGTCAAGGTAAGAAGGGATGTAGGTAAAAGCTTTGGCCTAAATCGAGGTAAACGAGGTGATAGCATCTCAATCTAAAGTTTAAAGGATTTGAATGATTAGTAAACAGAAGAAGGTAGATTCAGATGAAAGCAAGAGAGAGAGAGACAGTGAAATGTTTTTAAACCTTTTAGAGTGAAAGAATGACTTACTAATTCACTGTTGTACTCGTCGTATCACCACCTTTTGACAAAGTTATTTGGTTTATCCTGTTTGACTGTTTATCATTTAGTGTGACATTTTAGATGACAGTGAACAGTCTGTTACATTTCACTCAAACTATAATCTGTCGATCATCTCTCAAGACTCAAACTCAATTCAAGAAGAGATGACTAAGACCGAAGACTATAAAACTAAACTGAAGTTCCTCAAACACTCATCCAAACCAATTCATCATCATTTCAATCTCATCAAATGATCTCATTCCGAACATTTCCTTAAACTAAGATTCTCAACCGTTCAAAACTCAAGAGACCCGAGATGAACCACATTA